GTTCCATTCAAAGGAAAAATAGCGTCTTACAAAGGGCCAAAAAGGGGCCCCCACCCAACTAACTAAGTACTGAAAAAATTAAGTACAAAAGCTTCACTCAGCATTATTCCCATCCACGCCGTCATCTCCCTCCCTGCTTGGTTCAGCGGCTTCACCTCAACCGTCACCCTCTCCATTAGAATGTTCATCATCAAAGGTAAGCCCATCCTCGGCCTCATCGTCTCCACCAGCCTCCGGTGTCGCGGGGTTATAGCCGCAGGCAAGCCGAGCCTCATGCATTTTAACACGAACTTCTTCGAAAGCGGCTTCAGGAACATTCCCCGCTGCCAACAAGCCCTTATATATATCCCGCTGAGCATCAGCGTGGATCCACATATCGTACAAATGGCGAGGAACGTCAACAGAGGCGGACGCAGGAGCAGGAGTCAAAACCAACAATCGCGCCTTCTCAGCCTCGAGAGCAGCAATTTGATCACCCAGGCTTAAGACATGTCTCTCAAGCCCACCAATTCGCTCGTCAAGGCGCGCCTCCCTCAGAGTGGTCATTTCCATCTCAGTTGCTCGTTCAGACCTAAGAACGTGGATAGAATCTTCCAGTGTCGCAGCCCTTGCCAAGGCCGCTACTCGAGCTCCCTCAGCCCTCTCTAGCTCGGTCGCCTTCCTTTCCAACTCGGTCACCTTCTCCCCAACTCAACACTCAGACCGGCGACTCTAGTGGCACTCTGCTCAAGCTCCGCCCGCAAGGCCACCATCTTCGCCTGAAGATCAACACACTCAGCTGTAACCTCTTTTCCCACCTCGAGCTCTTCTTCTTTAGCCCTAAGCAGCCCCTCGAGTTCGCTGCATCTGCCAATGGACCATATTAGATCCTCGTTCTTCCGCTCCAACTCCTCCCTAAGAGATTGAAGATTACCGCCCATCCTAAGTCGTGCATACATCTCCCGGCACTCGTTACGGTATCGACAGTACTTCGAAACTATTTTCTAAAAAACGGAAGCCCGACTCTCCTCGCAGTGGATACTCTCAGTCTCCAAGATGAAAGTCTGAAGAAAGAAAAGAGATTAGAAAGAAAAAGTCAGCAAGAGTAGAAGATGTAAAACGAAGAACGCGATAAAGAACTCACCCTCAAAGCCATTCCGGCTACGCCCCGTGACAGGCCAGCATCGCTGATCTCCTGAAGGGCCATGTTTACAGTAGCAGAACAAAGAAGGGAAAATTGGGGCACCCGGCTCACCATGTCCTCCAACAAATCGCAATTCGGAGAAATCTCAATCGCGTGGGAGGAACAGTCTATTCCTACCTCCACCCGAGTGAACCCCGCCTCAAACAAGCTTATGTCCTCGGGGTCAATATCTGAACCAGATTCATAGTCATCTATAACCACGCCCTTTGCCCTCTCGCTGGCCGAAGAGGGAGCACGGGCCTATTGCGAAGTCGATGGACCACTCAGAATGATCGCAGCGGCCTCCGAACTTTGCCCTTTTCCAAGGGAGCCACCTCTACGATAGAATGAGGCACAGTTTCCATGCCCAAACTAGTACCACTGTCCAGTTCAGACATCGCCAACACGGGTTCACCCCTCGAAGGCTCCTCGGTCCCGATCACCCCATCAACCACCATCCTCTGCCTATTTAATGGAGCCTCTTTGTCTTCGCCCTCCGATGACCCGACCACTGAATGAACTGTGGGAGCCAGAACCCCCGCTAGGGGAGCAGCATCTGGATGTCCAAGTCTGCGCGAAGCCGTAATATGCGAAATAGCAGCGGCTTGAGCAGGCTCACTTGCAGCCACAACGAGTACGGGCTCGGCCGAGATACCCAACTGGCAAAAGGCATGCATAGGAGCCCTCTCCCTCCTTGATGCCCTCCGACCTATAAACACAGAAAAATAAGAGGATAGAAATACAGTATAAAAGTCAACAATTTAAGCCAAAGGTGACTCACCGGCCGCAGGTCTACGCCCAAACCTCTCATTGAAGTGCGACCACTCACGAATCCCCACAGCATGAGGAAAAACCTAACTCACCCAGTCACGAATGTCAACGACTGGTAGAGGAGGATTCTGCTCTACTGCAAGAATAAAAGGAGAACGATCAGTTTACCCAGAATAAATAACGAAGTCATTTAGGAGAAAAACACTTACGAGCAAAGTTCCACTCCTCGGGAAATCCGCTGGGGTTCGATATCACGTGCTCTGTCTTCACGTAGGAGTTTTTTTTATCAAAAACGACGATTAGTTTTATCGTCCATATTCACCACCAACCCCTTGGTCCCGCGGTGGCGCATATGAATCATCGTGCCCCTATAAAAACTTGGGCGAAGAGGTGAAGCAGATGGCAGAGAGAAATACCATGGTTGGATAGCTCCGCGTATTTGATAAGCATGAGGAAAAGCTTGTATATGTACGGAGAAAGCTGAGTCGGGCACATGAAGGGAAAGTGTGTAGCCGACGATGAACGGGTACGCGTAAAATGCACAGTACCCTGGGCGATGTATTTGCACTACATCACTACCAGCGGGAACGATTTCCACATGGGCCGGGATTCGCCACTTAACCCTAAATGCAGCAATCGCTGCCGCATCCATCGCAGAAATAACAGGTTCAGGTTCGTCCTCGGGTAGGTTCTTGAAGTCCGACCTAGCCTTCCCGGAACATGGGATTATCTCATCCACGGTGGGGAAGTTTTCATCTTCCACCATGGCTGCTCCTTCCTTATGAGGGGGTGCATCCACAACCAACATCACAGGATCAGAGGAAACACTGGCCATTTTTCTGATGGTATGTGAAGAGGAAATACAAAGATAAAGGAAATAACAGTAGCAGAAGATACTGAAGGGAGAAAGAAAACACAGAAGTTGGGAACTCGAAGAAGAAAAGAACTCAGGCTTCAAAGGCTTTGAAAATGCAACAATTCAAATGAGGAGTGCCTATCCCTATTTATAAGAATATGGGCACTCCAATTCAGAAATCCCAAAGGCCGCCTCATTAATTTCAAAACGGAAGAAGCGAGGGAAACGATGTAACGCATGGGGAACATGCGCCATAATGATGCATGATGAAACAATGTCATTTCAAAATGTAGTAACGGTCAAGTGCGGCTCTTGAAGCGTCACGTCGCTGACTCGCCAAGAAAGGGTGGAGGGGTCACTCCTCGGCCAATATGCTCAGATTTCTCAAAAGTGCAACTGGCGAAGTCCGCCCACCGAGCTCGCCCAAAAGCAACCCTGACGGGCAAGGGACTAACTGTATAGGTCAAAATTTGTTCAAAAGAATTCTACTTAAGGAAGAACGACCAAGAGTCAACCGAGCCGAAGCCATGTATAGGAAGAAATATACTGGCGAATGATTCAGCTATGGTCGAGGTCGAGCACTTAGTTCGGCCCGAACGGCTAGTTCAACACTTAGACATTTTAAAGGAATATTCTACAGGATGTTCTAAGAACTTAGGTACTCCGGTTAAGGACCGCTGGGGAAGGAAAGTGTTTTATATAAATATCATGAGAGAGAATAATACAAGGGGCAAATGGGAACACACACAGACATATACATCTCTCTGAAGGTGAAGATGTTCCCTCCTCTCAAGCTCTTCGCCAAAAAAGAAGAATAGAGCTTAGAATCTTGGTAATCATCCGTAATCCAATTTTATCAAATGTATGGAGGTCTGTCTTGTTCAAGAATGGTGACTTTTTTCCTTTATGTATTCTTTGTTATCATTTGATATCATTGGAGCAATCATCCTTTTCTTACATTATGGAACTCAATCGCAACTGTAATCAAATTTTATGTTCAGTTATGCTTGTCTATTCCTATCTTCTATCTCAGATCTAGAATAGATTATCTCTGGCTAGAATTTACCCTATGTCTTCTTATTTAATTAGTTTAACAAAAAGGCCTACTACTTTTTGGTCAAACAATTTTAAGCCGAGGGTCTTCCAGAAACAACTTCTCTGCCTTCTTGAAGGTAGGGATAAGGTCTATGTACACACACTACCCTCCACATACCTTACTTGTGGGATTACACTGAGTTTGCTGTTATTTTTCACGTTGCTTTAAAAATAGTGGAGTATTTGTTTGTGCAAGCTATTCCACTAAAAAAGAGGGGAATTTTGAAGTATTTAATTGCTTTTCTGTGGATTTTAAAAGCCAATAAACCTGTACTAAGCAGCTCTTGTGATTGTTGTTTTCTCTTTTCTTAATTTTAGACAGAATATATCCACCAGCTATGACTTCAGTCAAACTGGTAAAGCTGACGATAAGTTCATTAATAATTGTAGAAAAATGCTGTTAGTCCTCATCATCTTCCTTTTAAACGTCCTGTTGCATCATTCTTTTTCTTTATCCTTGTTCATGTTTAATTCACAGGATAAGAAAATAAGTACGATAAGCTTAAAGATTTAAAATATATACGCCGACAGCGTAAAGAACTTTTTCATTATCAGTGTAGTTAGTAGGTTCTCACACCATTTTTCACGTAATCATATTAGGCTTGATATTTAAGAATTACCTATTGTCGTGACAAACCTATACTCTATCAGGGCACAGAACTTTGAGCTAAAAACCGGAGATAGTAATATGTCTAAATGGGTGTTTAGACTGTACTTTTTCTTCTTTTTTTCCCCATAAAAATGTACATTCAAGTTGTCTATACAAATCAAGATACTTCACATTTCTACATATAAAAGTAAGGAATACTATGGATTTAACTATTGTCCCTGAGGTAATGTGAACCTTCCTAGTATTGTTCTGGGAGCAGAGACAGAATCAAGATTTAAATTATAGGGGTCGTTTGGTTGGGAAATATGTTATTCTTGAATTAATTACCCCGGAATTAGTTATCCCGAGATTGTTATCTCACCCTCCTATAATGATAAAAATAATACTCCCGGGATTAGTTATACCGCAATTTTATCCCAACCAAACATGAGATAAACTCATCTCAAATTTAATCCCGGAATTAATTATCTTTTATCCCTCATACCAAACGAGCCCTGTTCTAAATTCTAGGATAGCGATGTCAAGTGTTAGTAACTGGATTCTGAATTTAATTTTGTACATATTTAGTTAACTTTTTAGTAAAATACAAGGTTAGGACTTTAGACTAAAGCTAGTGAGTTCGGTGGAACCCGTAGCTAGCCTTCTAGCTCTGGCCCTAATTGGGAGGTCTATGGAGGATAACAATAACATAGGCTTGAGCTGCAAAAGTACATATGATGCTCCATTCTGCTTTGTTCATATGACCAACTTGGAATCCAATCCAGTAATGTTGTTTCATTTGAAGAGTGTGACAAAGAATCAGCAGAGGAACAATCTCCTTTTTCAGAAAAGGAGTCATCACTGTGAGAAGAAGGGACTGTGTCACTTTTCAAAGTTGATGATTGTTGTTCTGAATTACTTGTGTTACTGCCAAAGGATTCTGTCAAATGAAACCAATAATTTGTGAGAAACGGCACGGTTAGGGAACAGACATTAACTTATATACACTAATTGTGTAAAAGAACTTTTACATTATCAGATCACCTAAAGGACTGTTCATAAATAAGTGGAACTAGCTTAGATACAGAAATATAAAGCAGACTAACTACAATAACATGTTAAGTATAATGATAGTATAAAAGTTTTTTTGAAGTGTCGGTATATAAAAGAAATCCGTATAAAATAGCAGAATCTTGTAAAGTTGTAGTAGACCTTGTTCATTAATTAGCGCTTTCTTTCTCAAATGACTTCTCCAGTAGTTCTTGATTTCGTTATCAGTTCTTCCTGGCAATTGTTTTGCAATCTTTGACCACCTGTAAATTTAATAAAAAAGATTAATATTAATAAACAAGTGATATGATCTTAGCCTGGAAACAGGAAAAGATTCTTTCGACGTTTGGATAGCGAAAAGACAATTAATTTGTGGTAAAGCATCTTAAAAAATTCTTCTGAAGAAGGAAATAAGCTTACTTGTTTACAAACTGTCTCCGAAGTTGGATTATCAGACGTTCTTCATCTGCAGTAATATGACCGTGCTTTAGATTGGGACGGAGGTAGTTCAACCATCGCAATCTGCAGCTTTTCCCACTCCTCCTCAGCCCTGCATTAAAGCATAATCTAAACACATTAATTTGATGCTTTGTATCCGAGGCAGACTTAGAGCGGCTTCAACTAAACCAAATTGCTTTTCGCTCAAACTATATTATACATACAAAGTAAACTAAAAATGTATACATATATCACACTTATTCTGAACCGACTGCCTCTGATCTGACATGAGTTTCTACTTTGTTTCAGTACTATGAAGTTTAACATTTCTACATATCTAATTATACCTGAAGCTTTTGCTATATCATCCCAACGACATTCTCCTAAAATGGCTACAATCATAACCAGACTCTCATCTTCCTCTTCAAGCCATTGCCCTCTGCGCAGTTCGTCTTGTTGCATGGTTTGTTTAGAAGCCATTTATGGTTGCCACAACCTAAGAAAGTTACCCTCCTTATATAGGGATGCCGAGGTGGCAAATAATATTATGGATAAAAAGAGAAAAAGAGAAACCAGAAGATCTTACCTGGAAAAGTAGGTGGAAAACATCAGATTATAATGGAATCTGTGGTCAGCTTAGATGCATTCATCTTCTCAATTAAGTCTTCCATTGGTCATCAATGGATATTTCAATTTTACATACCTAAAGGATGGAGTTGTATCTCCTTTGTTACATCACTAGTTTTGGTACAGTACACTAAGTTTGTGTGCTACACAAGTTCTTTTGCACTATTCTGTTTGCATAAAGATTTTGTCTCATTCATAACAATAATATAAACTATAAGAACTTTAATTAGGCATGTGCTTACATAGAAAAATCAAGATAAGCATGAGGTTTTGGTGCAGAGTAAAATCCAATAAATGCATCTCCTGTGGGGGAGACTAAATCTTATAATGCTTCACAGCTTTGTTTGAGTTGAAACACTAAGACAGTTGAATATTACCACTACTGTGAAAACTGCTCACTTTGTAAAACATGTAAAGATGGCCCCCAGCTTTCAAAAATGATGCAAAGGCTTAGATCACCTAAGTCTGAAATGTATTACTCTCCGCTTAAATTGCTTTTCAGTTCTTTTTTCCTTTTAACGGTAGTGTCAGGGCCAATTTACATGCACCTTGACCGTTCGATTGGACATCTGCTACCTCCAACCAGCACATGTTTCGGCTTTCTATCGAAGTACTAGAATTTGAATCTTATCTTCTATGATTTCCATCCACTTCATTGGCCGCTAGGCCACACCCACCAAGGATCAATTCTGTTTATATTTTCTCCTTGGTGTTACTAGTAATTGCCAAGGACAGAGCAGAATTCATCATTCAAAAGCAGTGCACAAATGTTGACAAACAATGGCAAGCAGTCCTGATGTCGATTTGGCAAAATAACATGCCACTATAGAGGGCAGTCCGATGCATAAAGCATCCTGCATTCACGCAGGGCCGAGGAGGACTGCACCCCAACGAGTGTGATGTATACATCCTACCCTAATGTAAGCATTAGTGTCTGCTTCCACGGCTTGAACCCATGACCTATAAGTCACACGAAAACAACTTTATCTGCTCCAAGGTTCCCCTTCTTGCTCTACCACTATCATCACCCTTATTTGAAAGTCAAAACATGACAAAACTAGGCCATTGTACATAGTAGGCCTTCATTGTATATTCTTATTTTTTCATATAAGCAAGAAAAAGTCATTGTATATGCATCTGCAATTGATTCATTATCCATGATGAAAGTCTGATAATTGGGAGATGCTACTGAATAGACTGAAAAATTGAGCCTGTAATAAGAAGATAGCATAGGATCCTGGAATTGCCACAAAAGTTCCAAATTATATAACTTTAAGATGTAATTAACTTTTTCAAAAAGCCACAACTCCATGCAGCTTTCAAATGTACAATATACTTCAAGTTTGGGGAAGTACAAAATGGGACCTCAAATAAGGAACATTAGATGTAGGATAAATCCAACAGATGATCTCAACAACCCACTTCACTATTTTTTGACAAGCCTCAAGTAGTTGGTATACTAACTGGTCAAATTCCAGCCACTCTGATGGGAAGTACTAGCGATCGATGAAAGATTTGTTCATAAGATCAACTGCAGAATCCATGAACTGCAACCACGAAAAAATAGCAAACTGTCATAAAGGTAAAATGACACTTGTAATATATGTAACACAGTTCTCCAGCTAAAAAATGTGCATCTTTGTAATAAAAGGTCTATTTGCACATTCTTGATTATACTGTCGAATGCCTAATGAAACTTATACTAGCTAGGAAGAAGGGATGAGCAGCATCGTCTGATTGCTAATTAGCCAAATCCTCTAATGAATGCATTTATAATAATTACGTTTACCACGTTGATTATAGTTTTCATATGTCAAAGAAAATGAAACTATCAACTCCACCTTCTTCAGAGATCAACAAAATTTTTACCACCCTCTGTAAAGGTTGATCCTTCAGAAAAAGTTATTAAAGAAAGGAAAATAAGTGTCACACACTTGGTAAGAAAATTTACTGGTTACCATCAGACAATCTTATATGACTACTAAAACAAACGTACATACACATGCACTCAGTCTATGTGTATGTCAGTATTATGTCAATGAGCACCAATATCTATATCCATATTCCACAAATTTCATAAACTATTACATTAAAGTTCAAAAAGTGCGATACTCTTGCAGGTTATATATATTATAAAGCTAAGTCAGTTCTGAGACAAAGTTGTGTCTCCTCGTGCAAGGTTATGCGAAGGAATATACATCTGTCTTAATGTCAATCAATCAATAATGGAACCAATTAACTGCTTTGCTTTCACAAGATCTAAACCAGTCACTAGATTCGTCTCAATAGCATTCTACTTTAGATACTTGGAATGCTAAACTAGACAAAGAAAAAATTTACCTTCCCAACTGACTTTAGTTCTCGCCCAACAGGTTCAATAAATTTCAAATCGACTTCAATGGGCCATACCTGCATGCATATAGAAGGAAAGGAGCGTGAAACACTGAGCGCAAGGACTTAAATGAAGAGGCACAAGAGAAAAACCAAAAGATAATTAAGATAAAACATACTTAGCACATAGAGACAACCCTCATAAAGTATATAAATTTACTCAATTCAACAAGGACTTTTCATGTGAGCTCCCTGCCCCTGCTCCTACGACACATAAAAAGAAAAGGAATCTCATTTCCTTCTTTACATGTGCTTATATGCAACCTCATCATTCCCTTTCCCTAACAGTGCAAAGTGGTTTTGAGCCGTGCATCAGTTCGATCTTAATTATACCTCATAAATACGGCTGCTAGAACTTTCAAATGCTAATTGCTCCAAAGATTTCAGCATGACCAACTTAAATCCCCACAGCAGAGTAGTTTTATAATTTAAAAGATGCAACCATCAGACTGCAACATAGTAATGCTTGATCTCGGAGAACCTAAATTAAACTAAAATGAAAAGCATTTGACCTGCTGAATGAGTTTAATAACGTCACCACCAAAAGCAGATTTTTTTTGGCCTTCCTTTTCTTCTCCTGACACTTAAAGATGAAATTGAAGAGACCCCTATGAATGGTTAAATTCTAATTATTTTGCCTACAAGCTAGCGATAACAACAACTAGATTACAGTCGCAAGCTTATATTAAACAAATCACCAGTCCTTTCAAAGGACAACCAACAATTAAGCAGTGCAGCATCAGACTGAACTAATGGCAAAGCAGTCCTATTAATGGCCAAAACAAGAAATAAAAACAACCAACAACATCCATAAAATTAGAAGGAAAAGTCAAGACAGAATTGACCATCTTTAGCCTATTAACTCTATCACATTCTCCAACAAACTCATAGTTCCAGAAGAGAAGTAAACCACTATAGGCTCTAATGGTAAGAAAAATATAATCTTTGAGAATTTGTCATTGCCATCAACAACGCAATATAAGTAAGGAAAAGGAACAAGTTAAATTGTGGAAACAAATAGAAGCACCTTAAAACCCAGAAGTTTGATAGGTGGATTCTGTCCAGGAACAATGCAATCAGGCCCTGCGGCTTCTACTATTGCCTCCGTCCCCAATCCGCTTCCAATTGGATCCGGGTGCTGCAATTCCCATCCGAACAAACCAGAAAGATTACGTTTTCTGAAGTAAATCTCCTAGCCTCTCACCATCCCCCCCCCCCCCAAACCAACCAACCCAAAAAAAAATACACACACACAGAGATTAAAAAGGCGAAAAAATGAGGAAAATACCACTTCAGCAACTCAAAAATATGCACTGCCATATACAAATCAGAGAAACGTGAAAGTCGCAAAATGAGAGAAACTTAGGCGCCTAGTATCTGCACCAAACAAATAAATTCAACTCTAATACTGTTCTGTTCCAGTTTAGTGACACTATTTCCTTTTTAATCCATTCAAAAAGGACTCATGTCTAAATTTGGAAACAATTAAACTTAAATTTCTTATTTTAACCTCAATGCACTTAAAAGCTTTTATAGTCACACAAATATTATGTAATAACTAGGACCACAAGTTCCAAAGCTCATATAGCCACATAAATGTGATGGGCATTTTTAAAACCTACAATTCTAAAAAAAGTTTCCTTTATTTCTTACACTTTGCGCCTAATCACATAAATTGAAACGAAGAAAATATTAATCAATATGCATTTCCACTTAAACTTTTCCATTGAAGAGCCAATAAAACAGAAACAAATAAATATATGGCAGTGGTGAGCAAGAGAAAGAGTGGTAAAAAGAAACGAACCTTCATAATGGAGAGAGCATAATCAGAATAAGGGTTTTGAGGAAGACAAAGAATAGGGGAATGATGAATCTTTGGGATTGGTCTTGCACCAGAACCAGCTGCTCTCCACGGCACATCTTTCTGCAAAGCAGCAGCTCCTCCACCACCCATTGAACGATTATGGGTTTGCCTGCCAAGTTCTTAAATTTTTACTGAATTCTTTTTCTATTTTGCAGTATTATTAGTATAAATAAATGTAAGTCAATTGAGAATGGCAGTGAAGAAAAAAGAAAAATGATGTGTGAATGAAGATGAACATAGCAAAGGATTAGCTATAACAAGTGGCGCTGACTGGGTTTCATGGGAGGGCATCTGTTTTTGTCATATTAAGATTTTTTTGAGGTTAAAAAAAGTGGTTTGAAAAATAGAACTCCTCGAGTTATATTAATGGAAAAAACATATAAATGTAAGAAAATTGACTATGATAAATCAAATCGTTTCGATAGAGCCAGAATGATTTTAGATAATTTATATAGTTACCCGAAGTAAGAATTCGAATACTGTTTATTGTTTCATTAGTGGTTTGGCAAATAAAAAAATAGACAATTTAAATCCAAGATTAATAGAAGCCATATAAAATATGTACAAGCCATATCGCATGTCTTAAAACGTGTGAATGTTTTGGATGTTTGGCGAATTAGAGAAAGAAAAACACACTACGCTATGAAATTAGGATTGCTAGTTTAGAGTTGCTACAAGGACAGTCAATTCAACGAGGAGTTCTCCGCCATTGACCAAATTACAGATAATACACTATCACATGTAGGTTTCCAAACGTGATAACTGTTTGAACAAAAATATTAAATAGGTAGCATTGCCTAACGACTAGCTATGTGCAACTGGTGTAAACATCAGAAATTGTTGCCTTCAAAGTTCACTGAAGAAAAAAAATGTCTCTAAAGGGGGAAAAATTACAGAACAAGTTACACGAGATAATACTTTAAACAAACCATTCTTGAGCTGCAGCACGAGACACGCAATTGTCGAATACATATATGAATTACATGCTGCTGCATTCCCACTCAATCTTCAATGATTCGGCACACTGAAAACCAACGAACAAACACTAAGAGAAAATTAGAATACAATTACAACAATGATCATGGTTGTGGGCCACGTATCCAGTTTTGGATATGGGGTCTAATTCCACCTTAATGGATCAGGAATAGCGACGAATGTGCCCTTTAACATCCTTGTATTGCAGCAGCTGCTAATTTCTGCCATCTTAATTCTCGTTGCTCTTCCTGTTCAGTGGCTCGAGCTGCTTTCTCAGAATACTGTCTTTGGCATTCATCGAACAAATCAGCATCCATTTCCATGAACATTTTGCGAACATTTACAGTCAGCCCATGGATAGCTTGATTCCAGTGATTGTCTATGTTCTTTTGTAGAGCATAAAAAATGATTGGCAATACAACGTTGCGGTTCTGGGCAATCAACCCCACAACATGCTCATTGTTCCATAAAAATAGGGCTCGTTCTGCAACCTGAAATATAAAATTGCTTCAGAAATACCACAACGATGTTCTAAATTGCCATTTCATAATCCTAAGAATTATTCTCACAAGATTTCAATATAAAGCTAGTATAAAGTCTAACTTACTACTGGAAAATTTCTTAATAAGAGAGCTGCTGCAATTATACAAAGATGAAAAGGACAAAATACTGGAAAAAACAGCGAGCTTCATAAAATGCTAAAAGGTTGGAATTCAAAGAAAGTTGTAGATATTTTTTTTATAAACCTCAATCTTCGTGCTCTCCATCATGATATTTCCATGTTGCTAGAACTTTTAGATTAAGCAGCCAAGTTTTTTCCTTTTAAAGAAAGGGAGGATGAGAAGGTCGGAAATTTAGATGTATATTGCTAGTTGTAGCTGGAACAGGAGAGTATTGGGTCCACATGTTTCAGAAATATTTATAAAGAGAAAGAAGAAAGTTTTCGGAAATGATAAGGACTTTTAGATGCTGGCGTTTGTCTGATTTTTGCTGAATACATTTCGACTAGTAAGTATGAAACAACCCAAAAATCAGCCACGTCAACACCTCCTCGGTTGCCGAATTAACGTCATGTCAATGCCAAGTCATTGTTATATCAACGCCTAGTCAACGCCATGACAGTACACCATCCAAGTGTATTTTGTAATGCACAATCAAGCAAGGAAAAGATAATACAATTAGTTTCTCTATTTTCTTCATCTTCCCCTCAAATTTTTAAAACTACCCAAGAATCCCCTAAAGCTATTAGACATCGATTTAGCTACGCCCCTCCCTCAAGGTGCAGGTACTTCCTCCTATGAGCACTCTATTACTTTCTTGACAACATCCTATGGTTCAATACAACAACAACAACCCAGTAATAATCCCACTAGTGGGGTCTGGGGAGGGTAGAGTGTACGCAGACCTTACCCCTACCCATGAGGGTAGAGAGGTTGTTTCCGGGAGACCCTCGGCTCAAAAACGAAAGATCCCTTGTCTGCATCAAGCAACAAATTTCTTCACCATAAAAAATCCCTTTTCTCCCATTAAACAAAACTTTTATAAGAAAATACTCTAGTAAAGGTATGCTTCTCCTTGACGTCCTCCTTTTCTTAGCTAGAGCTTTAAAGTTTGAGGTTGGTCATTTAGAATCAAGTAGTTACATTAAATTTTGCAGGTTCACACTCTCTCATGCCTAAAAACTATTCTTTTGAATTAAATTTTTTCACCTCCACTATTTTTGTACACTATCTTGATGACACAGCTGCACAGCACAAAGTGAAGAGTCTAGTAACATATATTTCTAAAGCAAGCAACAGAACAGAAAACCTAGTGAAGCTCATATCACGTATCAAGGATAGATGAAGGTTATGCACCAAGAAACAAGAAACTGTGAAAAGCTTGTGGATTTCTTCTTGTTCGGTAGACGAGTCCTTATAAAAAAAACAAGTTCTTAATAGCCAAGAGGTGATCGCAGTCCTGAAGCTCTGGCAACAGAAATGAGTAGTTCCAGCTTTTAATTTGTTTTCAGTTTCCCCTCAACTAGGACTCATACATTGACCAAGAACAAAATTGAGATAACCACAATTTGATTTCGCTAAAAGGAAGTAGGTCCAGACATAAACTAAAGCAATGTTTTTTTAATAAGCTTATTAGCATCAAAGCACCACATTAAATTTCTGATAGTAAGCAATCGATCGAGTGTGAGCAATGTATTCAGGAAGTTCCTCTTGGGAGTGCACAAGTTATATTAACAGCCAAAAAAGGGAAGTAAAGTAGTTGATCTGAAATAGCTAGAGATAATATTACAAGAAAGAACATTACAAGTTTGGTTCTAAGGCCAAGATGATCGGTTAGGTGATGATAGAGAAGGTAGCCTCTGTCTTGACAAATAAATTAGACAGGCCAAAAAAAGTTAATCTGACCACTAATGACATTCAAGTGCGAGAACACAATGATTCGCGTATAGCTATCTTAAATACTGATTTTGTTTCAAAGCATTTGTGACACTCTCCTTAGAGTATCTCATAATTTCAAAGAGAGTGAAATTTTTCTGACAGTACATCCATTAGTAATTGTTTCATGTGTACCGATCAGCATTGACGCCAAGGATATGAGAATACTCAATCCATAGAAGAAGCAATAATAATGGCTGATAAGACTAAGCATTTTGTCCGCATTTCTAATGTTTATGTGGCAGGTCTAAATTGGATAGTATTACGAAGGATAGAAATGCTTAAAAAAAATTGTAGCAAAGGGATCTATAAGAAGCCAAACACAATTTCCACGTGAAGTTAGCTTCATAGACTTGCAAAAGAAAAAAGTGGACAGCAATTCCACATTCAAATAGTCATGACAAAATTAGTACTTATCAAAAGAAGAAAGATATTATGATAAAAAGGGACTGGAGAAAGATAGTGAAGTGCAACTATTAACAAATAAATAGGATAAGAATCTACATCAACTTGATAGGTCAATTGCCCTTTAGTTGAATGAAAAAATGAGGATAAAAAGCTACTCCCTCCGTTCCAATTTATGTGAACCTGTTTGACTGGGCACGGAGTTTAAGAAAAAAATGAAGACTTTTGGAATTTGTGGTCCTAAACAAATCCAAATGGGGCCCAGAGTATTTGCGTGGTTATAAAAGCTTCTCATTAAGGGTAGAGTTGTAACTTTAAGCTAAATTGTTACCAAATTTAGAAAGGGTTCATTCTTTTTGGAACGGACCAAAAAGGAAATAGGTTCACATAAACTGGAACAGAGGGAGTAGCAATTATGAGAAATATAGCGAGCAGCAAGCTAATAAAAACAAGAAAAAAAAATTCATCTTTTCACATGAAAGATAAGGGATCTTCCAAAGAAGTCCAAAAACACATCCTCAAACACAAAAATTATTCAATTATCCTCTCTAAGGCCAGCATAAAGTGCCGTAAGAGAAACACCCAATACATAGATTAATTAACTGCATATGACAAACCAGAAGGAACTTACACTTTTGTGCCCAGAATTTGGCAAACTAACTTCAAAAGTTAGTTACTTCGGCTTAAACTAAATAAATACAACACATTGGCGCATTGGAGAAATGCCAAACTTTCTCAAGTAACCACAGGCATAAAATAAATCTTAGCTTTTTTTATTTTTAAATTTATTAGCATCAAACCACCTCCTTAACTTTTTGCCAGTAAGCTATAGATCAAGATCAAGTATAAGCAGTGTAGTGCGGAAGTTCCTCTACTGGGGAGTGCAATAGTCACATTAACAACCCAAATAAGAAAGTAAGATAGTTGATCTGAAAAAGCTACAGACATTATTACAGGAAGGAACAATACAAGTTTGGCTATAAAGCCAAGATAATCAGCTAGGTGATGGGACCTCTAGAAGAAGGTAGTCTCTGGCTTGACAATAAAGAAGACGATGGGCCCAGAGACGTTAAATGTACTACTAATGCCATTACGAGCACACAATGATTCGTGTGTAGCTATCTTAGATACTGAATTTTGATAAAGCATTTGTGACACACTCCTTAAAATGGTCTCATAACTCTAGACGGATGTAAATTTTGCTTCTATTACATCCATTAGTGATTCTTTCATATGCACTGGACAGCATTGACGCTAGCTATCTTAGTTACTGAATTTTGATAAAGCATTTGTGACATACTCCTTAAAATGGTCTCATAGAGACTTAAATTTTGCTTCTAGTACATCCATTAGTGATTATTTCAGAAGTTATGACAAAAGTAGTACTTATAAAAAAGATATTTATGATAAAATCAGGCTGGACAGGGATAGTAAAGTGCAACTGTTAACAAATAAATTTGATAAGAGAGTTTGCGAAGAGGTAAAAAGCACATCCTCAACTCCAAGGAGTTTCCAATGATCCTCTCTCAGGCCTGCATAAAGTAACTTCAGAGAAACAGCCAATACATAGACTAATTAATGCATATGACGAATCAGAAGGAAACTTACACTTTTGTGCACAGAAGTTGGCAACCTACTTCAAAAGTTCGTTACTTTGGCTTAAACCAAAAAGTATTGATGCATTGGGGAAATGCCAAATGTTCTCATCTAAGCACCATATACTTCATTTCCACTCATTAACACAGTTATACGTGCGCACACCATAATGATTCTCAAGAAACAAACAAACAAAAGTAAAGGAAGAACATTATTGGACCTAACCAACCAAACAAGAGAAAACACAGTCATATCAGTTTTCTATTCTTCCCTCAATTCAACCAAATGGAAATCGAATTGACAATGCAGATAAAAAAAAAAGTAAAAAAAATATAAAAGAAAATCTTCCATAGAAATTACCAATGCATACAAGAGAAAACACAGTCATATCAGTTTTCTATTCTTCCCTCAATTCAACCAAATGGAAATCGAATTGACAATGCAGATAAAAAAAAAAGTAAAAAAAATATAAAAGAAAATCTTCCATAGAAATTACCAATGCATACAAGAGAAAACACAGTCATATCAGTTTTCTATTCTTCCCTCAATTCAACCAAATGGAAATCGAATTGACAATGCAGATAAAAAAAAAGTAAAAAAAAAAAAAAACTTCCATAGAAATTACTAATGCATACTAAATGAATAAATAAAGGATGCAGGTAGGAGATAACAACAAGCACTATAAATTCCCCTTAACCTGGAAGTGTGGGCTGTTAAGGCAACGAGCAATCTGTCTAAAAAGAGGAACCATGCAGCGCTGAAATTCTGCCGCCTGTGTGGTCTCCAACACTTCTTCAAGCTCCTGAAGAAAGAGTACTTCCTTTTGACAATTAGTGACAGGCCAGTACTTCAACAAACCCCTTATAACTGTATCAGCCAACTTGTAATCCTTTTCAACAAACTGAACAATACAGTAAGATAACTGCTGATGATACATTGCAACTGGTTTCGGCTTGTGTAGTGGTATGAGTGCCCGAACAAGGAATAACTTATGTTCCTCTTTCATGGGTAACGCGAAACCATTTATAATACTTCCTAGAATCTCCAATAACTCACCTATCCCACTATGCCTCTCAGTCTCATATATAAACCTATAAAAGATATTATTAATTCCTTTCCTTATGAATGGTCTATGCACCATAAACTTCCCATACACGCGATGTAGAATCGTCTTCAAATACTCTCTTTCTCTAGGGTCCTCAGAATCAAACAAATCCAGTAACTTCAGTACAAACGAATGATCAATAAACCGCTTAGCTACTTTCGTATCAGTATCTGATGAAACCACATACCTTAACAGCAATTCATAAACAAGCTGTAAATGAGGCCATGATGGCTCCAGATACGGCTCGTCCTCCTCCTGTTGTTCCACATTTTCGGATCCTGTATTCTCATGAGACGCAGGAGGTAAACAACGGAATACATTCACTGATATCATTTTTACCATTTCTTCTTGATTATTTTCACTGATTTTACCAGCACCCGATTGAACGTAATCTACAAGCTCAACAAGCGCTTGTCTCTTAATCTCTTTCTCCCTCACAAATTTCATCGTATCTGTAAAATCAAACTGAAAGCAACAAATCTGTAGTTTCTTAAAAAATAACACTTGCCGTTCGGATATCGGCACGTCACGGAACAAGGGAAGGTTCTCGATGTTTCCAGGTGCTGCTGGAACTGCTGATGACGTCATCACTGAAGGTGAATTTGTTGTTACGATGTTGCCTATCGAAGCGTGGTTCACGACCACATCGGACGTCGAAACATTGCCGGAATTCCTACCTCCCACCGGAGGCGGAGGCGCGTGACCGTAATCTGATGATACTTCTGATTTAGGCACCTTTTTGTGCCCTCGCTTTATAATTTTATTCAACATTTTAACTTCTAACCAATACGAAAACCCTAGCCCTAACTTTACCGGAAATGAGGAATAGTACCGTCGGGAAATTCAATTAGTGTGTAGAAGCGGCGATCCATGACCGCCGGAGGTCGGTAAAGTGATCGGACGGAGTGGAATTTTCCGGCGATCGGTTGAGATAATGAGGGGGTGAAATATAAATAGAGAAAATGTTATAGATATTACTACAAAATTCAAGCAGGAGAAGAGAGAGAAAATGACGAATGTGGAGATAATTACAAATTGAGGGACGCTAAAGAAAATGATTGATTGAAAATGCGCTCTTTTGACATTTTACGGAAACATATCTTCTTATTATCCCATTGTTTTTTTCTATTTACAAATATTTTCCTCTTATAAACAAAACATTTCACTTCCTATGTGCAATTACCAAATAAGAGTTGACTATGATAGAAAAAACCAGTTAAATACTCCATATTTGTTATAAATATATTATATTATGGATGTTCATTTAGTACTACATTGTAAATAATCTTCCTGAAGAAGTTTATTCATATGAGACTCCACCGTAAATATGTTTATCTATTTAGTACTCTATTGGAAATAAGCTTCCTGAAGAAGCTTATCACTTCGGTACCCGGTTATGGATAAACATTACCCTAGGTAGAAGATTATCCATACCGGGTATAATAAGCTTATCAATTTAGTACTCCGTTATGGATAAACATTGCTCTTAGTAGAAGATTATCCATATCTGGTATAGTAGCAGCTTACACAACAGCTTGCGGTAGCAGCTTACACAGCAACTTGCAGTAGCAGCTTGCGTAGCAGCTTACACAACAGCTTGCGGTAGCAGCTTACACAGCAACTTGCAGTAGCAGCTTGCGTAGCAGCTTACACAACAGCTTGTAATAGCAGCTTACACAGCAGCTTGTAGTAGCAGCTTACACAGCAGCTTGTGTAGCAGCTTACACAACAACTTCCTTTCTTCTATAAAATAGAAGAGATTTCAGTTCTTATGTACATCAGTTTGAATTCGAATAATATATCAGTTTCTCTTTATACTTGTCTTTACTTTACAGTCTTTATTTTATAACACGTTATCAGCACGAGACTCTGACATCTCGAGCAAATACTTTGAAAGTATTAGAGGTAAGAACTTTCTTTTCCTAAATAATGTCAAATCTTTCTAAACTTGAATTTGTAGCCCTGGATGTATCGGGCAAAAGCTACATGTCTTGGGTGCTTGATGCTGAAATTCATCTTGATGCGATGGGTCTGGCAGACACCATCAAGGATAAAAATCAGGCATCAAACCAAGACCGTGCCAAAGCAATGATATTCCTACGCCATCACCTTGATGAGGGCCTGAAAATGGAATATCTCACTATTAAAGATCCAGTCATACTGTGGAATAATTTGAAAGATAGATATGACCACCTGAAGATGGTCGTTCTTCCACAGGCACGTTATGATTGGACTCATCTAAGGCTACAAGATTTTAAATCTATCAGTGAGTATAATTCTGCTATGTTCAGAATTATTTCCCAATTGAAATTATGTGGTGATAATATTACTGATCATGATATGTTGGAGAAAACTTTCACCACTTTTCATGCCTCAAATATGCTCCTGCAGCAGCAATATCGAGAGATGGGATTTAAAAAGTATTCTGAACTTATCTCACATCTTCTTATAGCAGAGCAACATAATGGGCTATTAATGAAAAATCATGAAAGCCGACCTATTGGTTCTTGTCCATTCCCTGAAGTGAATGAGACGAACTTCCACCAAGCTAAACGTGGAAGAGGTCGTGGCCCCAGTCGTGGTCATGGCCGTGGTCGGGGAAGAAACCCCAATCATGGTAATAATAATGCACCAAAGAAGCCTCCTCACCACCAGCAGTGGAAAAGGAAGGAACAAAAGCATGAAGCGGTGCAAGCGCCAAATGCGAAAAATGCATGCTATAGATGTGGAGGAAAAGGGCACTGGTCACGTACCTGTCGTACGCCAAAGCACCCAGTTGAGATTTATCAAGCCTCCCTGAAAAAGACAGAGAAAAATGCTGAAGCAAATTTTATTTCTGAAGATAATTTAGACTTCATGCATTTGGATGTAGCTGATTA